AAGCATGTCAAAAGCAACTCCAACATAACGATATTGGCGAACACTGTATGTATTTCTGAATCGAAATTTCAAAGGTGCAGTTCAAGAATTCCACACGGTGAATGTCACGAACTTATCACGCTCAAAGTTGCTCGAGGCACCATATAATACACAATTTTTTGTAACTCTAAGGATCGTTGTAAGCAAACTAGAGCCAGGATCAAATGGAAAGTCTAATCCAAATTGATCAGGTGGATATCGATGCAATGGTAAGACGAGATCAGCATGACCAAGGTCACCTAAGTGACTAAATATACCTCTGTTTAGAAGTTGGTCGTAAGTGCAAGCAGGAAGCATACAAGACATCGCCTCCAAGTTTTGAGCTAGCCCAAGTCCATATCGACCAACAATCATGATGAGGTTACTAGAAATAGAGAATGCAGAACCAATATAAAGTGGAGCCTTCTCTATGATTGCAGTAACAACTTTTTCTTTATTATCCTTGTCTTCATTTTCAACAACATTAGCATTATTGTTTGCCGTATCAATCGGAGCGACATGATACATCGAATCATTAGGGAAATGGGTCTCTGTTGTTAAAGTAAGCTCCTTCTGTGGATCCTGCATAGCATTCGGCTCCTGAATAGCATCTTTAGACCAATCGCACAATTCATCGAACACCTTGCGCACCTCATTGTTGCTGTTGCATTCAGATGGTTCAACCAAGTATTGTGACAAACAGGGTTCAAATTCCTCTTTGTCCTCCTCCAGAACTGAATTGCAGGTCTCCTCAGGTGTTGTTAGCATCCTTTCAGTAACTATAACAGTTTTAGTTTTCCTATTTGGCTTTTCCGCAAACACCTTGTGGGTAATGTTCAGGTTGGTGTTCTCTGAGGGCGCATTCCAGTACTGAGGCAAGGGCAAGTTAGCCATGTTGCTCCGACGGAATAGTCGCAGCCCGTGCCGGATAAGCATCCACTGTAAACTGCCGGAGAAGGGCTAAACGCCTATCAGGTGCATCCCGATTTCGACCTCGAAAACGAATAAACAATTTGTCCACGAAATGGTCCCAACCTGCAAGTTGTTTGTTTCGAAATAACCAATGATACCATTTCAAAGCCTCGCCATCCAAATAAAATGAAGCCCAGGACAGTTTATGCTCCGGACGAAATCTTATAGAAGGTGAAATACTTCTCTGCCTGAAGAACCCAATTCAGAGGATTCTCACCGCTTAAACGACCCATTACTGGGGCTTGAGATAGGTCCACCATAGGAGATGGAGTCAATGAAAGCACCTATGTTATGAACTTCTCAAAGAACACAAATACAAATAGGAATTATGATTGATATTTCATTAATGGAAACCCATTACATAGAATTAGAGAATAAAAAGATAAGACTTTAACATAAACGAGGACAGTAACAAAAAGAAGGGATAAGGGGAAGGCAGATTCACAGAAGAAAAAGAGATGAGGCATAGATAGACCAGAGAGAGGAGAGGTTACTAACAATCTTCGGCATAACTCTAGAATGCAATGAACCTATTATTTATCTCCTGATTCCTTAGTCTCTGTCACGTGCAGTGCACATGCTCCGTTTTCAGCCAGGGTCCCATACGTAATTTGCCAAAAGCCCAAATGTAGCATCGTGGCTATTTTGATTCATAATAGGGTTCATTGAATACTCTTAATTAAGAGAGCTTGAAAATCCTATAAAGGTGATTTAAAACAAAATTAGTACACCTACTCTCATGTAAAAGTACGTAGTTGAAANGAATAGCATCGTCAGACCCATTGGATAATTCATCGAACACCTTGTGCGCTTCATTATTGCTGTTGATTCAGACGATGTAACCAGTATGTGGAAAAAGGGATTCGACTTCCTCTTTGTCCTCATCCAAAATTGAGCTGCAGGTCTCCTCAGGTGTTGTTAGCATTGTTTCAGTAAGTATAACAGTTGTAGTTTCCCTATTTGGATTTTCCGCGAACATCTTGTGAGTAATGTTTAGGTTGGTGTTCTTTGAGTGCGCATTCCAGTACTGAGGCATGTGCGAGTTAGCCATGTTGCTCCATGACGGAATAACTGCAACCCGTGTCGGATAAGCATCCACTGTGGCAAAATGCCGGAGAAAGGCTGAACGCCGATCAGGTGCATCCCGATTTCGACCTCGAAAACGAATAAACAATTTGTCCACGAAATGGTCCCAACCTGCAAGTTGTTTGTTTTGAAATAACCAATTATACCATTTCAAAGCCTCGCCATCCAAATAAAATAAAGCCCAGGACAGTTTATGCTCTGACGAAATGTTGTAGAAGGTGAAATACTTCTCTGCCTGAAGAACCCAACCCAGAGGATTCTCACCGCTAAAACGACTCATTACTAGGGCTTGAGATAGATCCACCATGGTAGATGGACTCAATGAAAGCACCAATGTTATGAACTTCTCAAAGAACACAATTACAAATAGGAATTATGATTGATATTTCATTAATGGAAACCCATTACATAGAATTAGAGAATAAAAAGATAAGACTTTAACATAAACGAGGATAGTAACAGAAAGAAGGGATAAGGGGGAGGCAGATTCACAGAAGAAAAAGAGATGAGGGATAGACCAGAGAGAGGAGAGGTTACTAACAATCTTCGGCATAACTCTAGAATGCAATGAACCTATTATTTGTCTCCTGATTCCTTAGTCTCTGTCACGTGCAGTGCACATGCTCCGTTTTCAGCCAGGGTCCCATACGTAATTTGCCAAAAGCCCAAATGTAGCATCGTGGCTATTTTGATTCATAACAGTTAACTTGCTTAATATGTATCATGCGGTTATAGCTTTAGTTGAAGGAGGATATAAAGATTTATATCGTTGATTTTTAAATTTGTACTTGTATCATGAGCTGGTATTGGTTTAATTATTCATATGTCATTGACTGTTGTAGTTTGTGTTTGAATATTCCTTCTATATAGACTTGTGTCTATAACTCTTACATCAAGGGCTTCTTTTTCTATGCAAGAATTATTACAGAAAGAAGTATGGTGCAGAAATATGCATAAGCGGCTAAAAATGTTACATAATTTCCAACCTCTTGTACTCCTCCAGCCGGTACTCATCGCAGACATGCAGCCAACCACTTCGCTACCTTTTCAAGATTCTATAGCTTTAGGAAAATGCACTGAATTTTGTGTTTTATAACAAATGCCTTCCAGCAGATTCTCTCTGGATCCAGCCTATTAATTCTCAAAAGATCTCGTTGTTGACTTCGTTTCCTGCAACCTCAACATTTATGCCATCGGCCTGCACAAGAGGCATAGGCTCTCAAGAATTTCACGTCTACTACGGATCTTCTGTCAAATTTTGTGATGCTGGACATTGTTCAACTGGTGCAAACGTGTTGAAAGACTCGAGATGAGAGCAGTATGCGAAAATATCACTTAATTTCAGCTGGCTCCATTCGGATTAGCTGTCTTAATTATTCAAGGGTGGTCCAAGATCTCCTGAAGGGAAAGTTGCTTTGAAATATCCTTCACAAGATACTGGACAAAAAAATATAACTACATCATTCTTCACAAAATTTATGCAAATATATCTTCTAATAAGCTTATATGGCTAATGAGATACTTAGCTTCAGCAGAGACATCGGATGATATCTCTAATCAAACAATAGACTACTTCTTCTGCTAGTGATGGTATCAGAAATTCATGAAATTCAGCAAATCAGACACAATTTATAGTTAGACTGTAAAGAGCTTCTCCTTCGAGGACAAAGAGAACCAAGAATATATTTGAATTATCTGAAATTCTTTATACTGGATTTAAACTTTCAGCCCCACTTGAAATGAAATTGATTGTAAAAATTCAGTATCTTTCATTCGTGAAGAAGAAAAGGAAGGCATGAAATCCAAATAGTTACAACCAAAATCCTCAAATCTCGCTCTGTAACTATAACTCTTTTGCTCTGTGGTGAAAATAGAAAACAGGATAGAGGTATAAAAAACTACAGGTGTTAACAGTGTCAAACATTTGTCGGCAATTTTCTATTTTCTTCCTTACCTCCGAAGGATGAAAAAGACCAGGGATGCATAAAAAATCAAATAACAAAACCAGTTTATTGAAGATTTTTTATCAAACACCTCCATATCAGAGGTTTTTACCTGAGGAATCAGAATTGGGTCATGAAAAGAAAGAGATGGTTGGTCGGTTGCGGTCGTTGGCTGTGGAACAAACACCAACTATATGAAACTAATAGTAAAAAGCAATTAGCAACACATACACATACCATCATTGTACACCAACAATGGATCCTGCAAAAATGAAGCAAATTGAAGAATTTGATGAATTAATGGTGCAAAGTAAAAACCTCCTTCAAATTATTTATGTCCGTTGAGCTACCGATCTTGGTCCTTCCAGACTTTTACAGACTGAGCTGACATCAAAGTAAAATGGAACTTGAATTGAGCAAAAAAAAAGAGATACATAAAAAGTGAAATTCACAGTAAATCAGAAAATCAGCAAGGAATACAAAGAGAAGAAAGAGGAGTAAAGGCCATAAGAGACACGTAGATAGCTGTATTAGTTTATAGATATGTAATGACTATAATACCCTCGGTTTGAATTTTAATACAAGACAGACAGGTCGAAACTTAGCTAGCGTATTGCAATGGCTGAAGTATTGCAATGGCTGGTGATGAACATACAAAATAATGAGGTAGCAGGAATAGGGAGAAGGATGGCTAGAATTGCAAAAGGTAAAGCAGGAAGATCATTCACAAAAGCAGCTTTGGCAGCAGTTATATACTACATATGGAAAGGTAGGAATGAAGCATTATGGAGGAAAAGAGTACCTCGACCACAAGTGCTGTTAAAACAGATTCAACTTGCTTGCAAACACAGATGCATGGAGGCAATGAAGAAGAAGGAAAACAACGACAATCTGTACTGGATAGAACAGTTATACAGATAGCAAAAATAGGTCTCTTGTATAATGAAAATGTAACTGTATAGAACAAAGTGTAGGCAGGACTTAGGAAAGATAGGGGACTTGAAATTGTAACTGTATTTTTGGGAGAATAAATAAAATTTTTATTTCTACCAAAAAAAAAAAACTTAGCTAGCGTTTGGCCATAGATCCCAAATTTATTTTGAAAAATCTGATTTGGGTGAAGTTTGGTTTGAAGATGAAAATGTGTTTGGACATACGATTTCAAAATATATTTTTCAACTTTATTTTGGGAAAACATGTATATAATTCCCAAGTTTTGGAAATTTGGCCCAAATTCAGCTTATTAGCTGAATTTGAGATTTCAAATATGTGATTTGAGTTTTGGCCATAATGTGGGTCAAATTTATGGCCAAACATGGGATTTGAAAATAAATTTCAAATAAAATTTGAAAAAATGTATGGCCAAACAGGGGCTTAAGCTTTTCTATATAATAGAGATATTATACCAAAGAAAATATTTATGTATGTGTTAAAATAATGAGTGTATGCCAAGTTTTTTTTTGGGATTTTTACATACCTATACACTATTAGAAACTTTATTACTAAAATTGTCCATGTTTTGTTATTTACCCGACCTACACAAGTTTTGTTAACAAAATATATACATTCCACCTTAAAAGGCTCCCAATACATTATTAGTGCCTTCAATCAATGGATTTAGTTACACCCTTTTCCTTTTTTTTTTTCCTCCTCTTCTCTTTTCTTATATTTCTGCAATCATCGGTAGTGCCTTCAATCATCATAGTTGAACAAATCACACATTAGATGTGAAGCCGTACGAAGCAGATCTGGGAGAAAAGAGAGAGAAGAGCTGAGCTCTGTTATGCAATAGAAAAATGAAGAATAGAGTCACTGTTACATTCTTCAACCGTCTAACTATATACGTGTGTCCCTATAACCACCTAACTAATACACACGTGTATGTCACGTGTGTGCTAATTAATGAATTATACCAATAATAATCTTCCCCTGACTATTAACATTAACAGCCAACTAATCCCTCACTGATATCTCATGTAACCCCCATTTCATAACTCCCCCTCAAGCTGGTGGGTGAAAAAATATTGAGAACTCCCAGCTTGCCAACCAAATACTCATGTTGTGGCCTTCCTAACCCTTTAGTCAGGATATTTGCTAGTTGCTCCTTTGAAGGGATGTACTGAGTCTTTACTAGTCTTTCTTGTATCTTTTGTCTAATGAAATGACAGTCGATTTCTATATGTTTTGTTCTTTCGTGGAACACAGGATTTGCTGCTATCTGCATTGCAGCCCTGCTGTCACTGAATATGTGTATTGGAAGTTTTACTTCTGCTCCCAACTCCCTCAGCAATGCTGTTAACCATACTACCTCTGAAACTCCACTTGCCATGCTCCTATACTTAGCTTCTGCAGAACTCTTAGAAACTGTATTTTGCTTCTTTGATTTCCATGAGATTGGAGACTCTCCAAATTTGACTAGATACCCTGACACTGATTTTCTAGTGTTAGGACATGAGGCCCAGTCAGCATCACAAAATATGCTGATCTCACTTGATCTTTTACTGCTCAACAAAATTCCCAGACCTGGTTGCCTTTTAACATACTTTACTACTCTTATAGCTGCATCCCATTGAGACCTTTTTGGCTGCTGCATAAACTGGCTGAGAGTTTGCACAGGAAATGCAATGTCTGGCCTGGACATGGTTAGGTATAACAACTTTCTAATCAACCTTTGATATTGCCCTACATCTTCCAGCATTTGGTTCGCTGTTGTTCCCATGAGTCTGTCTAGTTCTGGAACTGTCAATCTAACATTTGTCTCTAATGGAGTCCAGGCTGGTTTTGCTCCACTCAGTCCTAAATCTGATATTATCTCTAATGCATACTTTCTCTGATTAACTAAAATCCCTTTGGCTGATCTGCTGAACTCCATGCCAAGGAAGAATTTTAGATCACGTAAATCTTTGATCTTGAAAGCTTGTTGCAAGAATATTTTGGTGGCTTCAATCATATCCAAGTTGTTTCCTGTCACTAGCATATCATCAACATATATTAGTATGATCACTATATCTGCTCCTTTCTTCTTGATGAACAAGGAATGATCTAGATTACTCTACTTAAAATCAGCCTGTAGCAATGCCTCTGCGAGGTTCAAGTTCCATTGTCTGCTTGCTTGTTTCAATCCATAGAGAGATTTTACAAGTCTACACGCCAATCTACACTCCCCCTGACTTGTAAAACCTAGTGGGAGCTGCATGTACACTTCATCATGTAAATCTCCTTGCAGGAAGGCATTGTAGATATCCAATTGTTGGACTATCCAATTATGCATGGCTACTAAGGAAAGAATAGTTCTGACAGTGGTGATCTTCACTACAAGAGAAAAGGTCTCATTGTAATCAAGACCTTCTCTTTGATTGTATCCTTTGGCTATTTTCCGTGCTTTGAATCTCTCCACATCTCCATTAGCCTTAAGCTTGACTTTATGCACCCATTTACAACCTATAGCTGTCTTTCCTTGAGGCAGCTGAACTAGTTCCCAGGTGTTGTTGTCTTGCAGAGCTTGAATCTTAGTTTGCATGGCTTCTACCAATATAGGGTCCTCAGAAGCTTCCTGAGAAGTAGTAGGCTCAACAATAGAAGAGAACACTCCCAGATAAGCCTGATATGAAGGTGATAGCTTAGCATATGAGACATAATTGTGTATGGGATATAAGGCAGAGTTCCCTGACTTCCTTGTAGTTACATAGTCTATCAACCAGACTGGATCTTTTGACTCCCTTTGTGATCTTCGTGAAGAATCATGATGTGTCTGTCCTTCATGATGATTATGAAGAGATGTAGATGGTGCTTCTGAAAGTATTCCCACTGAGTCAGGAGGTGCAGATGAAGAACTATCAGTAGTGGTATGATGTTGAGTTGCAGAATCTATTGTGGTGTGCAGGTCTGGCTCAAGGTTGTCTGAGGGCTGTGCAATATCATCGGTATGATTAACTTGAATATGTAGCTGTTCAATGAATGGAACACCAGGCTCATCCGCATCTGTATCTTTAAGGCCAAAAACATCACTAACAACAGGCTTGATTTGGTTCCTAGGATCATCAGCTATATCTTGAAAAGGAAATGTAGATTCCTTGAACACCACATCCCCGTTGACAAAAAATCTATCCCTATCTATGTCATATAGGACATATCCTTTAGTGACACCAGAATACCCCATAAAAACAGCCCTAACTGCTCTACGAGCAAATTTATCAGTTCTAGGCAGAACACTTGCAAAACAAAGACAGCCTAATGTTTTCAAGTGAGAAACTGATGGTTTCCTGTTAAAGAACACCTCATATGGAGACTTACCATCAAGTGACTGTGATGGCAGTCTGTTAATAACATAAGCTGCTGTTGAAATACAGTGTCCCCAGAACTTCATAGGTATATGTCCTTGAAATTTGAGTGCCCTTGCAACTTCAAGAAAATGTCTATGCTTTCTCTCTGCTACACCATTTTACGGTGGTGTATAAACACATTTCTTCTGATGAACTATCCCCATGGATGTGCATAACTCCTGCACAGCTGAACTTACAAACTCTCCACCATTATCAGTTCTAATTGTTTGCACCTTTCCATTGAACTGTGTTTGTACCAGCTTAAGAAAAGACTTAAAGACAATTATGACATCACTTTTAAATTTCAAGAGAAAAATCCAAGTCACACGAGAGTAATCATCTACAATTGTGAGAAAGAACCTATTACCATCAAAAGTGGATACACTGCAAGGTCCCCACACATCTAAGTGTAATAGCTGGAAAACATTGGTAGTTCTAGTACTACTCAATGGAAAAGATTGTCTCACATGTCGAGCCATTGGACATACACCACATCTATCTATTACAGATTTGCAATCCTCCAGCTTACATCCCAGAAATTTCTTTTAAGGATCCTTCAGATGCATGTCCTAACCTTTTGTGCCATAGAGCTATGTCCTCCTTTGTTGTCTGTACACTTAACCCTTTGACTGTTGGTATGCTTTTATTAGTGTTTAGGCAAGCCTTTTGAACTAGTATGTAGAGCCCATCCTTCTCTTTACCAATCCCCCTCACTTTCCCACTTGAGAGGTCCTGGAATAGACAAAAATTAGGATAAAAAGAGACAAAGCAATGTAAGTCCCTTGTTATTTTGGACATTGAAAGAAGGTTGTAGGAAAACTCTGGGACATATAACACATCCTGCATTTCCCCTGTTTCTGTGATCTTACAGTTCCCAACATGTGACACAATAGTACAATCTCCATTAGGTAAGTGAACTCTTTTGTCTCTAGTGAGGTTAACATTTTTAACATTTGTTAACATCCCTAAATCAGCTACCATATGGTTAATTGCTCCTGTATCAACTATCCAATTACCTTTTGAAACCTTGGCCATAAAGGAATAGGCTGTACCTGCCATATTTGCCATTGCATCCTTGGAGTTGTCTTTGTTGAGCAACTTCATGATCTAGTCATATTGATCAGCTGTAAGTTAAGGTGCCCTCTGCCAGTTTCTTTCCTTCATTGCTTCTGGTGGATCTCCCTCTCCATCATCCATACCTGCAAGATTAGGATTAAGATTTTCTACCTGTACATTATATGCACCTTTCTTCTTCCCTTTAAAATCTTGTGGATAGCCAATTATCTTGTAGCATCCTTCCTTTGTATGACCCTTCATATGACAGAAATCGCATTGTACATTCCAGTTCCTCTTTGGCCTTTGATAATTCTGGTGATTTCCTCCTTTGCCAGCTAGTAATGCAGTTAAGTCAGTTCCTTCAACCAAAGTAGAAGCATTAGTTACTGATGTTTGACTTTCTCTTTCAATAAGCATTGCATATGCTTTGTTGATGCTAGGTGTTGGGCTAGTCATGAGGATTTGACTACGAGCCTGTTCATAGTTGTCATTCAAACCCATTAGAAACTTCAGCACCTTTTGTTTCTCCATAAACTCGATGAAACTCTTTGATCTAGCACAGTCACATGGCGGAGGAACCATGCTATCAAATTCATCCCACAAATTTTTGAGTTTAGAAAAAAACATTGAGACGCTGTCTATTCCTTGAGTTATTGTCGCTATGGCCTTCTGCAACTAATAAACTCGTGATATGTTTACCTTATCAAATCGCTCTTTCAGATCCTCCCACACCTTTCTCGTATCCCTTGCATACAGGATTCCAGTAATCAGTTCCTTCGAAACTGAACTCATAATCCACCCTAGGACAATAGCATTACATCTATCCCACTGATGACCTAGTCCAGTAGAAAAATCTTCTTTCTTCAGAGTTCCGCGATTAGACCTAGCTTGTTCTTTCCTAACAACTGGATCTCCATCGCACGACTCCAAGTGGAGTAATTCTCTGAACCAGTCAACTGAATTGAGATGATCGGAGCTCCGGTAGTGTCCGATGGGTGAAGAAACAGAGTATGGTTGTGATCTAGATCTGTTTTTCCCCCATTGATGAATCTCACTCTCAGCTGTAATTCACAATTGAATTTATCGCAAATTTAACAGGATCTTCGAATTCAACTCGCAATTGCAATCAAGCTCTGATACCATGAACAAATCACACATTAGATGTGAAGCGCTACGAAGCAGATCTGGGAGAAAAGAGAGAGAAGAGCTTAGCTCTGTTATGCAATAGAAAAATGAAGAATAGAGTCACTGTTACATTCCTCAACCGTCTAACTATATACATGTGTCCCTATAACCACCTAACTAATACACACGTGTATGTCACGTGTGTGCTAATTAACGAATTATACCAATAATAACCCCCCCTGACTGTTAATGTTAACAGCCAACTAATCCCTCACTGATATCTCATGTAACCCCCATTTCATCAGTATTCTCAGTAATGCCATTCTTTACAAACTGAATTCGATAACTCCAGCAATATCTACAATGAAGTCTGGTGTACAGAATGAGACTTCTGTTTATTTGCATTCCACGTTAAGAAAAGAAGAGAGCATTCCACATCGTAATTTAAATTGTGATTTCTCGACTACTGTTATCCCATAAAAGTAATAATAGTTACAAAAATATTAGATCAAATTAAACTAATTTATGATTCCCATCACTTATTGCCTTCACACACTACAATCCACCGCCTCTTGCTCTCATCATACCTCTGATCTTCCAACTGGCCTCCCAATTGAAAATGGTAAATTTTAAATTTCCTTTGAGATAATACTTCACAAGAAGAGCCAAAAGTAGTCCAAACCCACACCTAATTTGGAGTTGACATTTTCCTTAATTACAAAAAAAAAAAATTGGAGTTGATATTGTAAGCAGCCAACCACACAAGAATCCACTAGGAATATATACTGCAGCAATCAACAAATATTTATAAGAAATTTTTGACTAGATTGTGTTTTTAAGTGATTGAAAAATCTGAATAGGAAAAAGGTATGTGAAAGAAGTGGAGGGACAATAATTGGATATGGTGAATATATCTCAAATTCAAAATTCTAATTAAGAAAACAAAATAAATATTTTAAAGGAGAAATTTGGAAGTGCAGTCTAATGGTTACAACTCTAGCTAAAAAGTTAAGAAAATTTAACATTTTTTAAAAATTTTATACCATATGTCTTATCTACAACTTATCTACAATTTTCATACATTATATCTATCCAGTTATACACAACTACAATATCATACAACTTAAATACAATTTTTATACAATATGTCTTTTGTATATTTTGTATTTGATTTATACATAGTAAAAACAAATTTCATACAACTAATTATATATTATACAACGTATCTACATACAACTTAAATACAATTTTATACAATATTGTTCAACTTTCATACAATATTTAAATTAAAAATATATATATAAACACCAGAATACAATTTTCTACAATTTTACTACAACTTTACTATAATTTTGTAAGTATAATGTATGACATGTCGTCTTCTTCTTCTTCTTCTTCTTCTTCTTCTTCTTCTTCTTCTTCTTCTTCTTCTTCTTCTTCTTCTTCTTCTTCGAGTTTCAATCTGAAATTCAGCCAAAATCAAGTCTAATCTTCACCAAAACACCCTCAAAATTATGATATAAACTCCAAACAATATTCTCAATTGTTTGCAACAACACCCAATCCAAACAAATAATGGTTTTTGAAAACCCAAATTCGAATTCAAAGCTTCAAAGCTTTTTAATGGCTGTCAATGGAGGAATTGCTGCTCTCTTTTCCTTTGCTTTACATTACCGGAATTAGAGATTGAGAGATAGAGAGAGACGTAGAGAGAATTCCCAATTGTTTGCAACAACACGCAATTTCAAACAAATAATATTTTTTGAAAACCCAAATATCAAAGCTTCAAAGCTTTTTAATGGCTGTCAATGGTGGAATTGCTGCTCTCTTTTCCTTTGCTCTACATTACTTGAATTAGGGAGAGAGAGAGAGAGAGAGAGAGAGGGGGGGGGGGG